ACTTGAAATATTCGAAGACTATTGATATCTGCAGACATTCTGAGTGACATCAACCAGGCCAAAAAACGTGGTCTGCTGACAGTTCTGTTCTGAACAATTTTATACTTTGACTTTTGCAACTATTTTAGAGAAAATCGGAAGAAGTGAACTAAGGATCACCAAATCCTGTATATCTGACACAAAGGTTGTAGATTTTCAGTATGAAAACCCGTCAAACATGATCAAATCTTTGTGTCCTTTATGACCAATTTTATTCGCTCTATTCGATATTGGTACTAGATTTCGACTATTTTTAAAAAAGGACTAAGATTTGACAGAACTTGATAAAAAACTGCAAGAAAATTAAAGTTTTCATCAAAACCTGTTAAATCTTAGAAATTTTTTAAATGTCAGATGAAATCTAGTACCAATATCAAGTAGAGGGAATAAACTTGGCTATAAATGACAGAAAGATTTGGCCATGTTTGACGTGTTCTCATATGGAAAATCTATAATCTTCATGCCAGATATATAGGATTTGGTACATCCCTAAAGTGAACAACAAATACGTATTCAACAGAAGAGAATAATATACATGGAAAAAAAGAGAAAACAAATGCAAAAAAAACAATGTTCGAGCGTTCGAAATATTCTATTCAAAAATGGTCCTGACACGAGCATTCTCCATCAGGCTAGAAATGATGCATGCGATTGGCATCGCGAACGATTATCAAACATTCACGAATTTTAACAACCAATTTTGTCCATGTATCTATGATGAAAAAAAGGGAATTAATGAACTAACGACAATCGTCGCAAACATGCAAATTGTTTACAATTTGAATACGGGTCGGAGTTGGCCGTTGAATCACGTTCAAAACAATAGCCAGTCGTTTGCTATGTTCAGATAATACTGATTCAGGGGTCTCACCATTTTCTAATGGTCGTGTTATCTAAGATTCATCATATTTGTAACCGTGTTCGATTAGTTCATTTTGTAATCGATCTGATTCTGCATAAATTTCTTGTGAACATGAATGAGATCGATCATAAGCTCGAAATTTCTAATTATAAAAACAGAAAAACGTGATTCTTTTTACATTGATTTAACTCACAAAAACTTTTCCATTGACAACAGTCCAAGAATAATCAACAACTTTTTTCATACTCGATTGACTTAATTTTGTTCGAATGTTTGATGTTATTAACTTATTACCACTTAACGCGTATGTATTAGTAAGAAGAACTGTTGCCGATGTAAGACTACTTTGAACGTCGGAAAAATTTGATTGAATACAATCAAAAATCTTTTATGATAATGAAATATTCTTTGCATTCCTAGCAGATGAGAGTATTGACACTAGTGAAAATATATAGGCACGATTGCATATCAATAAAAAGAAGAAAAACAAGCAACTTACTATACATCGGAATTGAAGGACGATGAGACTTTTCAAATTCATCAATAAATTTTTGTGCTTGATCAAAAAAATAGACACGACTGAAAGTATCAACCTGCACAAAAACAAATGAAAATGAAAAGTAAATTTGAAAGTCAATAAAAGCTTTTAACCATTGTAATGTAAATTTGTTCTGTTCATTGATTAAATGGAATCTTTTCGAAGATTTGACGTGCTTCATTGACAAGTCCATCATGAGAACAAGCATTTAAGACACATACATAAACGCATTTATCCAACATATTCGTTGAAACTTGATGAAAAAGTTGAACAGCTTCAAAACCCATACCATCGAGACCATATGCATTAATTTAAGTAGAATATCAATTAGAATAAAAAAAGAACATTCATTCTCGAATTCGGTGACCTATCTTTAACAAGGATACGATATATATGGTCTTATAAAGCATTTTGTGATCCATCGAATGATATATAAGAAATCCAGTCTCGTGAAAATTTTGATGCATTGAGGAGGGTTCTTATAGTAGTTATAATCCTTGAGGAATATATATATATATATTTGGAGAATTGAAAAATCCCATATTACGACATGTTGCCATGGGTGATACCGCTGGTGGTACAACATCCTTTTAAATAAATAAAAGAAATTGAAGGTATTTATTTAATGATCAATTTTTTTTCCATCGTTCTTATCAGTAAATACGAAAGAGAGAGAGAGAGGAAAAAATGAATCAATAAATGTAGTGAGTGTGGAGTGTGAGTGTGGGTGTTTATGCTGGGTGTAAGTGTTAGTTTCGATAAAGAAAAGATCCACACCCACCCACACTCTACAATACAATAAAACCTTCTCGTACTGAACATCCATCTAATATGATCAACCTCTTCCATTAGATACGCTTAGGGGAGGGAAGTTACCGTTACTACCTAGTTACGTTACCCGATAACTAGTAACTCCAAAGTTACTAGTTACCGAGTAACTAGTAACGCCAAAGTTACTAGTTACCAAGTAACGGTAACGCTTTATAGACCCTTACCTGGTGACGTAATATTCGAACATCTTAAGGTATTCGAATATTACGTCGCCAGCTAAGGGTCCATAAAGCGTTACCGTTACTTGGTAACTAGTAACTTTGGAGTTACTAGTTACTTGGCAACGTAACGGTAACTTCCCTCCCCTAGATACGCTTCAATTCCTTATTTCCGCGTATAAATTTCGCTAGATTTGATCCCTCTCTAATATGATTACCTCGCCATTCTGAATGTGAACGCTTTTGTACAGTTATTACGGCATCATTTAATCTTCGCAAAGAGATCATCGAGAGAAGGTATCACTTATCTGGAAAGCGATTTTCTATATCTGTATTAGCTCGTCCTATTATTGGTTATAGAGAGAAAGAGAGAACGAAAAAAAAACACATCTGATATAGGACTACTATCTTTGTCGTGTCTTCGTTCGATGTTTGACAATCTTTCTCATTGAATATTGCACCTTAATTCTCTGACCGAGCAGAATGTAAAAGATAGAATTAAACGCTCATAATAGCACCATCATGAGATTTTGTGTATTTTTCACCTCATCTTTTTTTTATTCTTCAGATGTCATCATGACTTTGGAATTCACTATGGTATCGAAACAGTTGGTCCGAATACAATTGAAAAAAAATAAAGAGTCCAATATCACTGTTTGAGTTCAGAGACTCAGAATCGACTGACAAAATGGATATGGTAGTCCGAAATGTGATCTCTATTGGACAAAATCAAAAATACAGCGTGAGTTACCCTGACAAACATACACGTGCAATTGTTTACGTTTCAATCAGTAGTAATCATTTGGCTGATTGTGTGATGGCGAAAATTGAAGTACTTGATGTATTTGATGTACTTGTTGAACCAAGTCCACCTTCAGTACCTAGTAAGTTGCACACGATATTTCTCATTTCTTTGCACATTCGAACAAGTAGAGTCATCCACCATCGTTTCTCGATATTTTAGTGGAAATAATTTTGACAATCGTCTCATCTGTTGTTTTTATTCTCTGTTAGATTGGCCAACGTCACAAGATGAACTTGTCAAGGACGACACGAATGATATTCTACGATTGCCGATAGTGATACAACAAATTGATGCTAGAATTATGCGTT